CAAAAAAAAAAAAAAAAAAAAAAAGTTTCCTTTTCCTGCCCCTTAGTTTAACGACAGGTAGGTGAGTCTCTCAGCTAAACTTCATTTTCTCACTACCAAAGGGTCTTGGATAGCTATAAATTGGTATTAAATTTTAAATATACATCATAGTGAATTAAAAATACTTCATAGTAACTTATTTCTCTTGCAGTTACTCTTAGATGAAAATTGGGAGTTTGTGTTCAATTTGGCCAATCCTCTGACATTATAGGTGCTTCAGAATATCTTCTTTGATAAAGCCAGGCATGGTGGCACACATCGATAATCCCAGCACTCTGGGAAGAGGTTTGCAAGTTGGAGCCCAGCGTGGGCAATTTAGCGACTGAGCAAAATCCTGTCTCAGATTTTTTGTTTAAAAAGGGAGGAGGGAGGCTGGGGAAGTAGCTCAGTGTGAAGGCCCTAACTTCAATCCCCAGTACTGCAAATGAAAAAAAAAATTTTTTTTTTCTTTGAAAAATGCCTTTTCTACTCTCCTCCTAAATAAATCAACTCTAATAAAAGAGCTCTAAAAGGAGCACGTCTGGAGTATCAAAGACAGCGACTGTAAGTCAGCAGGGACATAAGCCATTACCAGTGAGAAGACACTTAAGCTGTTGTTTTAAATGATGATCAACCAAGAAAAGAGCAAGTATATTTTGAAAAATGAGGGACTCTGTGCACAGCTGGCCTGGGTTCCATGTGTAGTGTACATGGAGAGCAACAATGATCAGTAAGGAGGTTGTTGATTTGCTTATAAAGGAAAGCAGCTTCTCCTCTCTGCCTTCTGCTTCCTCTTGGGTCTAGCTGCCTTTTGTTTCTTTATTGTTTGGATTGCTTCATTGCTCTGCGCAGGGGCCTTCAAATTGAGGAAAGGAAAATTAAAAAATGGAAATAAAGTGTTTGTAAATGGGGAGGTGAGGAGGGGTGAGGGGAGGGCAGGGACAAGGGGAAAAAATGAGAACCAAGACCTGTCATGTAAAGGTGCAGGATCCCAGTAATGAATGTAACTGAACTGTATACCTAGATTGTACCAATAAACTCAATAAAAAGAAAAAAAAAAAAACAAATTGAGGAAAGGAAGAGCAACAACAGCAACAAACTTTTCTGCAGAGGTATTAAAAGTTTCTAAATGGCCAAGCAAGATATGCTTCCTTGGTGGTGATGAAGGGTGTTGCAGTGACTCTCATAAAATAGAAACTACTGGCAAGTATGGCTGTGAAGAGATCGTGTTAAAGAAACAGGATGGCTGTGGTTTACTGTGAGCATCAATTTTCCTGTTGAGTATTTTTACAGGAAGTTGAAGAACAAAGCCAAATTCGTCTTAATTAGTTCTAATGGCTTTCAGATCTTAAAGATATCCAACTTAGATTTGCATCCTGTAGTCTTTAAAGAATAGAATCAAGAATAATTTTGAGTAGGAATCCCAAATTATGCGATTTTTTTAAAATTCAAGAGTTTAGCAGCAACTTGAGTTTGCTAAATGATTTTATTTTTGCAGTGGATTCATTGTCTTTGTAACGAATGCCATTGCAATTGTTTTTTATGGTTGTAATAACTCATTATGAATTTATTAAAACACTGTTGAGCAACCCATATTATAAATTTATTTCTGTTACTATCATTTGGTCAAACAAATGTGTACATGGGGGAAGTGAACAACAAAGGGTGTGGGGGACG